AGAAGTGGAAGATTTCAGCTTTAAAACTCTGTTGTGTCCTGAATTGTTAACAGACAAAAGCGTAAACATTGTCGGTTATGACAGATTGGAAGCCTAACATATGAAAACATGTAGATAATTAGCGGACTCAAGCTGTAGACCTAATTAGCTGTAAGCAAAGCCTTTTTGTATATCGGCTTAATCATTTAACCCCGCTGCTGCTTGTCTTTCCACTCGTTTGCATCCCCACACCGGGACAGCTATAGTAACACGGGTCAAATGTCCCGAGCATCGTGGAGAAGGCTTTAATTTAGCTGTGGGTTTGGTTTTACTGGGGCTTGAATAACGTGAGACCGAAAACAATAACAACACTGTAATCGTCCGCTCCCACCATCGTTGAAAGTTACGACCTGAGTTAATGGGATACGCGGTGCACAGATACACAGCCACTGCCCGAGTGGTCCCAGTCTCCCTGACAAAAGGCTACTGTTTGTGGATGCTTGGTTTCAACTAAATATTCCTGATCAGTGAAAGGCAATTCTGAAATCAGATCGTTCGCTCGTTTTTTTTTTTTGGGGGGGGGGCTATAATCTATCTCCGTCTTCCTGCAAACAGATTTGTTGAAGCTGAATGTTGAACCGTTAATTCACGTAACTCTTCTGCCCACATTGCATATTTTCCCCAGGTTTAGAGCTTGCAGCACCAGTGTTAATACGAGGTTATAATGCGTTATGATTATATAATCAGGTCAAAACTGCAATAGGTAAGATTTTTTTTAAAAAAAGTGTTATTTCTAAACCCTTTGCGTTTTTCTCGATGCACATCAGGTACCCAGAGTAACTGTTTACTTAGTTATTCACCGTTCATGGGTTGTACAGTATGTAACAACAACCGTTCGTGATTTTTAAAAGAAAAACCAATCATTATAGCAGGACTTTGGTCGACCACACCAATGCAAGTCGTCTCCCACCTCCCACCGCATAACTAACTACTTAATTATTTCTGCATCTGCATCTAGTGTTGTTTTATGGTGTTCCGTGCAAAATGATCCGAAGGGCTGCAGATCATATATTAAAATACTTGTACGCAACCCTGAACAAACTGGACTAAAATATTTCAAAGGTGTATTTCAATGCTTGATCTAAACCCCGCCAGGTATCTATTTTGTCCATCGCACGATTACGCTTTACCGTTAACTTTCATGGAAATACGCCAAGAAGAAGCACAACTGATGCTTAACATGAAACAAAAGACATCATTTTACATTTTTGCTACAATTTTTCCTCACTTACCAACGCAGTCATTTTAATTAGCCTGCAAGTGGAAATGTATATTCTGTAAGCATTTCGCTCTGATTGTAATTGTTGGCGATGCAGGAAGCTGATCTAATATGAGATGTTATAGCCTATACGACTTAAAATTCAATGACTCTGACCAGGGGCTGTCTCGATTAAGTGCGGCATGCAGCTATTTGTCTGGGGACAAACTTACTCTGATGATTAAGGTGCAGAGACCGATTTTGCCCTTCATTTTCACTCTGCATTGGATGATTTTAGGCCACGATCGGCTGTAATGGATCTATCGTCAGGAAACAATTACCTTTTGCGGCGCAGTTCAACTGATGACAGACACTGTTATTTCAGAAATGAGATCATTTTATTTCTTATTACACTAAATAACATCCAGCAGCTTGAAATTGCCATGTTCTTCAAAACTACCCATTGGAGAAAATTGCTGCATTTATCGCGTTGTGCATCTCTAGAGAACGAAAGGCGATGTGATTCAAACATCATACATCAGAAGTACGGCAGAAATACATCTAATAATGTGTTTGGGGAAAGCTCCTGGCGACGGACCTGTTCCTAACAGGGGAGAAAAAAACTCCATTCGCATTCACTTGGACTTTAAATACGTAATCAGGGTATTTGCCAGAAGTTAATGAAACAAATTTCTCACTCTATAAAACGCCTTCTGAAAATCGGAAATAAATATACAGTGAAAACATAAAAAGGTCGACCAGCAAGTGGAATAGAAAGAGAGAGAGAGAGGCTAACTTTAAGAGTTATGGTGTATTTCGCATTTCCGACGCCCGGTGTGAATTCACATACGATGTGAATTTTCCAATATTTTCTATTTTAGCTTCAGACCACCTGCCCACTCCCCCCCCTCCAACACCACATAAAATGCAATCGAGATTATTAATACAAAGTCACCTTTTCTTCTTCGTGACCTGGTCAAAAATAACCAGCGACAAAAGAAATGGCAAATCCCTTAATGTGTAAGGTGATAAAATGCCACTATTTATAGGCTCTGATCAGTTTGATATACCCCCCCCCCCCCCCTTCCCCCAACAACATATTGTAGTTGGATTATTGCGCTGTAAAGCATTGCTTTTGAAACATCCTGACATCGGTTTCTACAATAGACTCTCTGGCCCTTGGATTTCTGATGCAAACTTTAGACAAGAACAATTTCGTAAAGCTGTGCCCAAGCAACAGTGTTGTGCACATATAACAACAACCCTTCTGAAAGCACACGATTCGCAAACGTGAAGTGGCGACCGACTTGACTGCGCGCTGGAGGCTTCGTTTCTCCGCAGCTGCGGTTCGCAGATGCCACATCCACCCAGGGTGGTTTCTGCGCCGCGTTTGCTCCCTTTAAACACGTTGCCCGGCGCTATCAAATACACATTATGTCGACTTCGGGTGTATCTTCTTCTCAGACTTTGTCAGCGTGAGAAGTAACACCGGCTTGGCGTTCGAAGGATCTTATTCTATAGAAACGCACTCGTTCCTCTGCGGTGAGTTACAGAGATCTCTAATAAAACACAGAGCAATATTTGGTAGCAGAACTGACTGGTGAGCAGTGCCAGCCAGTAGATTTCGCCATTGGCGTACAGTACTTAACAAATACAAACCCCTGAGTTATGGGTGATATTTCATCACCAAAATAAGTGGGCTTCAGCTTGTGATCTGTTGTAGTATAGAATACTTCTGTGAAGCGTGTGCCTCAAACATCAATAATTTAAATGCATTGTTTAGTTGTTGGCAATCGTTATGTCATGAAAAGTACTCTGTGTGGGTTAATTGTTTTGCCCGCGCTGCTTCAAACGTACTCAATCCCATTAACATAGTTTTTGTTCCGAATCAAAATAATATAATTGGCAGCTTAAAACCCAAAATATTTGCTAAATTCTTAGTTTTGGTACAGAGTGGTTGATATCACAAATCCCACATACTGTACTCAAATGTAATAAGGAACGTGTCCTCCGGCTAACATAGAGAACTCATTTCAAGAGTAAATCCTTTGGTAAGTGCAGATGATGCGTGTTAATAAACAATCTGAAAACTGAAATGCTGCTCATATTTTTTTCAACCCCAGGTTTGTTTACACAACTTTGCATTTGTGTTTAAAGCACCAATCACTGCAATGTCGAGGATAGATCCTGTTTTCTCAAAATATAGTGCAAACTCCTGATAAGTGTACACAAGTTCTAAGTAAATAATCACGGTATTGACATTGAAATGACATCTTTATCATTTCCACCGAGTGTTCATTTGCTTTTAGAATTTAAATGCTGATAATTAATATTATATTGATACAACACATCTACTCCCCGACACGTTTCTATTCCTCAGAAATCCCACAATATACTGTACATCAAATTAAAATCACAATGCGGACTTAGACATGGCAAATCAAATCCAATATATTAATTTACCATAATTATCACAATATTGAATATGACTTTATAATGTAGTGTAAATTATTTTTAATTGTAAATTACGCGTAATGGGAATTACAATATTGAATTCCACCCAAGATGTGCGTCTGTGTATGTAATGATGGTCACGGTATTGAAATGACAAAGTTCACTCCTGAAATGTACACTCCCTTGTTTTGACTGGATGCAATGGCTGTTTCCCTGCCATGTTTCACAGCTGAGGTGCCTAATTGTCAGCTCCTTCAGCAGACACTAATCAAGCAATTTCCCCATCCCAGCCCCATCAAATTGCTCTTTAGCTGTTGAACTGTGGAGTTTTGCTCCTCTTTTCTCATGCTAATCACGGCCATTCATGCGCTCAATGTGAGGCTATTTGTAGTGGAATAAATACCCTTGTTTGCCTGCCGCATGATTAATTGATATTGTTGTATGGCTTTTGTTTGTGCTACCGGGAGCTGAAAGGCAGCACATATTGTATGTGACGAAGAGAGACAGAAACATCATTTCACCGCTGGGGTCGCCAAAAGGTCGAGGAAGGTACCAATTGCATTATTCATCGTATTCATTTTTCCTCATTAAAAATATGATGAAAGCTTAAAATAGGAGGCTGGAGGTTTTATTGACCAGTCCCTTCAGCCACATAGAAACAGCCTGATCACACACATTTAGACAGCTGCAGCTTTCTGCAAGCCTCTTGTTTGGATTTTTTTTGTCTTTGTTGCCAACACTAAAGCTATCTAAAGCTGCATATGTCTGAAGAACTGTATTTCTCATCTGTTATAAATTAATATGGTAATACCAGCGACTAGTATTGCTTCTGATGCTTTAAATTTTTTTCTTCCTGAATTACAAAAAAGAAACTCTCCTCTTCCTGTGCAGAGAGGTAATTGATATGCTGCATCAGAGGTCAGGATTTGCATAAGAATTAAGTGCAGTAAATTAATTTAATATTCTACGCACATCTACAATTATTCCTGCAGACCTTTGTCTCCCTGTTTTGGAGATAGAGGTTCAGCTGCTCTTCAGCCAAACAACATCTGTGCAGTTAATAATTTGATAAACAGCTAATACAAATAGTTTCTGAATTATCTGGCTACCCAGGGACCAGTCAGCGAGACTTGCAACATTTGGCACAGTGTTTTATGTGGAGCTGGTTTTATCTGGGTATTGACGAAATCCATTCGCCACAACCTTGGATTCAGTCATTCGTTTGATTCAGATAACACAGCGAGAGCAACCACAAGGATCATTTGTTTATTGGGGTTAGGCGCACACGTTTTCTACACATAATGGGAAAGTTTCAGTAATCAATACATAACATGAATCAATTCTATAAGTCTCTTATTTACCCAATTTAACTGTAATCGAGGTGTACTTGATACATACGTTGCATCTTTGAGGAAAACATTAGCTGCCTTTAAATGTATTTATAACCTGTTCAGTATTCATTTCACCAACTGAAGATGGTTCAAGCGAAAACTACATTATGTAATTTTATTGAAATACAGTTTTTGTACTATGCATCGTTTTTATACACTATCACAAGCCTAAAGAAAAATTCAGAGCGAACTAATATAATGTTTATCAAACTCTATTCACCTTAATCGAGCAAAGGACCCGTTTTAGCGACTCTGGTTTTGACTCCTCACAGAGGTTATTGGGGAGTTCAACAAGTAAACTCGAGGCCCTGTTTCAGGTTTGTTTTTTCTGCCATTTGTCCAACAATCCCTTGTCTTTTTAAGCATCTAGTGGGGAGAAAACAAGAGTCATAGAGTTAAGGAGGAAAAAAATATTTATTTGGAATAAATGGTTCATATTCAAATATAATTATCTTTTAAAAACTACCGTATATCATAGATGGGTTATTTCAGGAATTAGGGGAAGACACACCAGATTTTTCTTGATTCTAATTCCCTCCTAGATGTGCCGATAGGGTAAATGCATTACTGCAGCTTTCTTGGTGTGTTTTGCATATTTGATAGGAAGATATAACAGTTGTTCTATGTATTTACCAAGAGGAGGAGTTACTCTGTGTAAAACAAGCAGATTATCTGGTTATCATTGAAAGTTCTGACATGCCCGTTAGACAGAAACCTTGCAGCAAGCTATTTTAGTAAGTGATTAAGAATGCTTTAACGTATTAGCAACGAGCTGATTTGTGCAAGTCTTCCTTGTCATTGCCTCCATGTTGGCTATAGGCGTACAGTTCCAGCGTAAAATCGATTTAAACTCATACAATTAGGTAAACCCAGGTGACGAGTTTTAAAAAAAAAGAGCAATCCAGTCCTATATGAGTTTCACCCACAATAACTGATGTGTATAATCTTTCAGAGGTGGCGCACATATAGTTTGGTTAATACACGAAGTGTAAATCTGACTTACCCATTAGATTGCTCGTTCATATGCATTATAGTGTCCATTTACCTGTGATAACTTGTGCGTATGGGGGGGTTAGGGTTAACCTTTAAACAATCTTGACCCTAACAATTTCGGGAGAACAGCGACATTTAACAAGGGAATATGGTGACCTCGTACAAAGTTAAAGTTCTCACTTAAAGAAACTTGTTTGATCGCAGCAAATACGCTGGTTGTTTTATTTTCTAAAACACAGTATGTAATCATATTTCACTTAAAAGTCGAGGCCGTCCAAAGGAAGTCCAGGGAGAATAATCCGTGCAATACAAATTAGGCTGTACTTTTCCTAATCTAATTGCCAAAGCATTGGAAGTTTCTATCACACGAAATTGGTACCTTTCGGGCACTGAACAATCAAAGGGGGCGAGAGGCAGCCCGCACCAAGATTGAAAGAAAAAGCATATATACAAAGTGACAGCATTTCATTTACTAGACACCAAGGATATTGTATGCCCTTGAAATTAAGTGTTGCAGTGACCTGATTCTTTTTTAATGAGATAGAATGCACACGCAGAGTGTGTTTCCTGACGCCAAATGTGTAAGCGACGGGAAATTAGAAATGCTGCCATCTCCACTTGGGGTATTTTAGTGGATTGGACACCAATCCATATGGAAAGGTCCTTGAAAAAAAAGTGCTCGCTCTTTATTATGCTAACCGATTACATTACGGCTGATGAATACTCCATAGTTCGTGCCTTTAATTTACAAAATCAGGTTTCTTTAAGTTATTCAAGATAATTTTTTTCACATAAATAGGAAAGCTTTTGATGGATTTGGTGTATGTTAGTCATTCTCCAGGTGTGGGACCTGGGTTTCTGATCTCTTCGGTCAAATTGCTGTTTGGTTTCATACATATTGTAGATATAATAATTAGCCACCAATCGGAAATACGAAGCATATATACCAGCTCTATGTTTGACACAAATTAAAGTAATGACAGATTTTTTTAAAATCAACTTAGTGCTGAGAAACATCGCCACAATATACTGCTGTAGCTCTAGAATGTATCTATCTATCATTGTAGGAAATAAAATACCGACCAAATGTAGTGATCACAGAATCTAAAACTTTTGATACGTGATCGGGAAGAAGATAGCAACCTACCGACTTCATCTAAATTTCGTTATTTTATTTCCTAAAGTTAGTCATCAGAAGTTTTGAACACACCTATTTTATCCATTAAATTCTTTTTCCTCAATACTATGAACACACTTTTTTTCTTTACGTTTTCACTTTCACGTTTCCAAAGAGAAATCCGCAGTAAGCATTAAGTTAACTAGTGAATCACACTCAAAGAGGGGAAATAAACTGCAATCTAAGAGCTGTTCAAACACCAGCAGTATTTCAACACACACTCACCCCATCCTGCCCCTAACGCTCTCTACAATTAGGTAATGTCGGTGTGCCCCTCCTGGGAGCATTGCATTCACACACGTGAAACCCTCAAGCTGGCTTCTGTACTATTAAAAATGGTGATGCATTCCTGCATAGACCAGACTGATCAAAACAATACTCAAAGGGAAATGGCACCATATGCATCAACGCATAATAATACTTAAAGCGATAAAGCGCTACGAGACACTTCCCCACGTGCTTATATAAACGCAAGTTGCTGCTGTTGCAATGTGCAATTCAAGTTTGATTCATTTATTATATGAACCTTCCAATGCATTTCAAAAACGTCATAACCACATAAAATTAACATTAAAAAAGAATTACATCAAGTACACCCTTCTTGTCCTTGCTCCAAGGTGCTAAAAGAACAAATCTGCCAAACTGGGAACTAAGTTCAGTCGGGATACAACTGAGTTTTTTCTTTTCAGCTGAGTGTCTGACATGTGCAGAAACCCATCACCAGGCTTAACAATATCCAAACCAAACTGAGAGTTCTGTGCACTCCACCTACATATGGACATTCCTAGATGGAGCATTCACAAATGACACCATTCATATCAAACAACCATTGGGTGGGTGGATGCTTTGACATTCCCACACCAGCAAAGGTATGAGCCGACAGCTGACAGCACATACACATTAGAAGGTGCAATAACATAACTTCAATCGACTGAAAGAACACTGGAAGCTCTGTTGAAGGAGAGAATTATAAAAGATCAAACTGCTAGTCAAAGAAAACCTTTTATCAGCGCATACTAGTAAATTACTGACAAGGCTTTATTTTCAAGAGTTACTAGATTACCATTAAACTATAAAATTATCTATATTCCTGTTATCAATTCAAGACTTTTAAGTTTAGTTTGAAAAGCTTGATTTTTGTTACGTACACAATTGTCCGTATGGGGTTTGCTCGCAAAAACACGCAGTTGCTGCACTTTACAGTACCCTGTAGTTACCGATATCCTCCCGGTGAGATGGGTGCTAATACACAAAATGCAAGGATATTACTATTACAGATAAACAATTTCATTTCTCCCTGTTTCCCTTGTTTCCAAATTTGCATGGTTCACATTAGCTTTTATAATATTTGTACTCTTCGGAAGGCGCAGCTACTCTTCCCTGACAGTTCTGTACTGGATTAGCACAAATTTAAAGTAATAGTAAAAAAAGGACACGGGGAGGATAAAGCGAGAGACATAGGTTGCTTTGCCCATTGTTTGATGATCTTCCTTCTGCCACAAGATAATCGCTTGCATTCTGGCATTTTATTCAGTTCCTCTTAATCCTAAATCCTGGTAACCTATGAACAGGGCTTTTATATATTCCTCTGAATTGTGCCATTTCAGTTTTATTTTTCTCAGAGTGCAAGAAATGCACTTGCTGCTAAGTGCATGTCACTTGGGTCTGATTTGTTTTATTTGCAAAATCTCAAAGTCACACGCTGGCAACGTTCAAACAAAGGTTGGCAAGCAAAATGTTTTGCTAACTTGCCTTTTTTGAAGTTTTCCAGCTTGCACGATTCACCATTACACCAAGTTCACAATCTAATATTTGCAAACTGGAGTTGTAACTAATCCAGCTAGAAAATATGAGACGTTGGTACCAATCAATGTTTAGTCCAGGATTTCCCCATTATAAATCTTATCATCATATCTACTACCCACAGGGGCAAGAGAGCTGCACTGTCTAGCAAGCCTCCCATTTTTTAGCTTGGAACATCCTACCCTTTAGGGGTTTGGCTTGCAGATTGAACTGCCCCCAATGATCGGCTACCTCTCCAAGTTCTGCCAATAAACTGACAAGTGGCAAGAGAATTGGATCCCAGTCATTGAAAGTGAAAGAAAGTATCGTCAAATAAAATGTACGCACTAGTCTAATGGCTCCAGTTTCATATATTCAAATGAATGAATCTATTAGCCGACCCCCCACCACCATTACAAACACATCTCTAATGTAAGATAGCAAGCATAGCTTCCTATCAATTGCATTTGTTTTTACAATGTTGGTGTGCTTCTATCAACTAAAATCCTAAAAGTGCAAATTGTTTACACAGCATGATATTTGGAAAAATCAGGTTTTATTGGTACTATACACCGATTGTAAAGATACTACTTCAAAACTTTATGACCCTCAGCGAGAGGTATAGTAAACCCAATGTTTCTTCCTATTTGCCCTTCAAAGTCATATACCCTGATGGGTAACTGCAATAAAATGACTGTCATCTTTCCTAAACAAATGCCATTTTAAAATCTGTGATTGCTCTTTATAATGTATCCACTTAAGAACTGATAGAGTAAAATTGTCTGAATCTGGCCTCTGTCAGGTTTGAAACCTATGATTCGTGCTGTGCATGGAGCATTTTACCAGTATGTCACCAAACTGATTTTTTTACTTGATAGTTTAGTAAACCATTTAGTTGACATATCCAATGTCTGCTCAAGGGACCTTTAAGCTTACTATCATTTGCACATCTCAGCTGCAATGGTGACTTTGTGAGGAGTGTTACTTGTAAGGACTAAGACGATGTGCAATGTCAGATGTATGACAATAGCACACTGCGCTTCACTTTCACAATTGCTTCTTATTGACTTCATTGCTGGAGACCCTAAAAAAATTCATTATTTTCTGAATATCATTGTTGAACCGTATCAACCATCAGGCTGTTGTTTCATGTTGAAACTGCATGCAAAAAAAAATTATTGCAGCATGTGCTTAGTTTCAAACATTATGTTATTGCAGTTTGATATTTTTTCAGAAGAAGAAAGTTGAGGCCCAAAATTTCACCCAGACTCAGCTCGTAAGGCCATTTTCACCTGAAATTAAAGATTACACAAAATTGTGGAAAAGTCTTAAAATCAGTGTCAACTTAGTTGGTTGTGTTTAAAGTGTTATGGACTTGTAAATTACGGCTGAATTTAATTCCGTGGAATTCTTA